CTAACACAGACGATCGGGAGAGATTCGGGTGATTGTCAATTGCTGCTATGATGGCTTTGGTTGGTTGTTCTTTTTCACTGTACGGCCGCAGACACATTCTGACAGCACTTCAGACAGCAGCTTTGTGCCCCGCCAGCTGCTTGTTCCATGCCTACCATGGTGTTTTTGTACAGACGGCACTTCAGACAGCAGTATGCTGTAGTCGGCAATCTTCCGTTTTGGTATAGAATGGGACAGGGAGGGGGTGATGCTACTGTAGTCGAACGGTGGGACGGACGTGCAGTTCAGTTTTTGGGCACGCATACGGTGCTGCAGGGATCTTAAGGTGTACCTCTTCGGGCTCTTGGATACCTTTTTCTCGTTATATGTGTGCGTGTTCTTTAGATCCTCAGATGGCTCTAGCGCTTTCGTGACCACGGGCTGAGAGTCTTTTGCTAGATTTTGGCATTTGGCAACTGACATACGGTTTAATGTGAAGACAACAACAACAACAACAACATAGTGACCAAGCGATCACAACGCGATTCTCATATGCACCGGCTGCCACCACACGAACGCGTGGAAGCTGCTGGGAACGTCGCGCCCAACAACTGACAAAATGTTTGTGGCATCGCGGCAGCACTTCTATCCTCATCTACGTTTGGCTACCAAGTATTTCCTCCAAATGAATCGAGGATCACCCAGAGTTTTGCGCCAAGGACTCATTCCGTCGCAATACTTGAAAAAAGAGTGAATATATATATTTTTTGTTTTTTTTTGTTCTTGCGCGCCCTGCTCACCTTTGTGTGAGACTGAATACGACAGCCTGGGCTGCCCCCGTCCGCCAAAACATTTGACCAACGGCACTGTACTCTCACACTTGAGCAATGGTCATGATCGGATGAGTGTGGTGAGGAATTCTAGACATGCACGCGGTATTCTTGAGCAGCGCAAGATTACGTACGTACGTAAACAGGGCGGCAACCAACGGGTTAGTTATGCCTTTGTACAGCACACACTTCTATTGTGGCGTGTGTATACGGCAGATCAGGGTATACTTTAGTTCAAGCACGTCTCACATGTGTTATTAGTGTTCGGACGTTAGGTCGCGCGCGTTGGCGAGTTCGCGAGTGGGAGAACTTGCCTGTCTACAGCAGCACGACATCGACCGCGGTCATCACACAATACGCCGTGCCTAGCCTTTCCATTCTAACGCGAAATGCATACAACAGCTACATTTTGCATTCATCATTTTGCTTCGACGAACGCCATGCCTGACATTGACGCAGCTTTTCTCTCAGCCGGTGTGCTGTACGCAAGCCGCAGATTTTTCACAAGTTTTCTTCTTTGCGGAACCATTGGAACCCATCGCAAAACTGGTTTTGTGGTCATTCATGTTACAACTTGTCAAACCACCGTACGAACGATGGGAAAGATGTTGTTACAAATCGAAGTCAAGCCACACATGCTTCAATTGAAACTCTAGACAGTCCAGACAGTCAGTGCACTGTACATTGGTTGCTGCGTATCTCCATTTCTTCTTTCATCTCCACTCTCCAGGGCGTTAGCTTCAAGCGAAGCTTTGCGGCACTACTCGCGTCGTCGACCGTCTTTCTTCGCGGTGCGGTTTGTTTTTTCTTAATTGACAGCATCGGCTACAGCCGCGCAGCATACGTCGGCCGTTCTCGCAGACCTACTCGACATCTGTCACACCTTATGCCCCCCCCCGCCCATTGGGGGCGAGGGGGCTGATGCTTCGCCCTCCTGTGCCCTCTAGCTCTTCGCAATCAAACGTCTTCACGTCTTTACGTCTTTATTGCGCCTCCATACACCGTCCCCTCTACTGTGGCTACTTCTGACGTGTCGTCTTGCTTCTTCTTATTCCTACCTTCCCCCCAAACCCTCACCGTCATCCATCCCGGTGTGGCCGCCCGCCCCATGGGGGGCGGGGGGCCAATCCTTAACCCTGGTAGCCAAAATTCTCGAAATAAACTTCTGCTCTTTTGCTCAATCTCACAATCCTCATGAGCTTGAGTCTCAGGAGTCTCACGATCACGTTCTCGTGAGAGTCTCGAAACAATGATGAGATCGTTTTGTTCTCATGATGTGTTTGGAGGCGGGCAGCTTGTCAGAAGCGCAGAGAAGATTGACTCAAGACCTGGTATCATTTACGAGTGCGCCACGCATGCTAGCCCATGCACGCAGAAGGGAGGTCGCCCCTCTACAATCACATACCTCAATGATATACGCAACCTAGATCTCGGTAGATCAGAATCGAGTTCTGCTGAGGACACCCAAATAGCCCCCATTCTCGGCACTCGATATGATCTAAGCAACTCTTTAATTATCACCAGGTAAATCGGCGATAAAGTCAGTGCCAAACACACAACAGTCGTTCACCATGTCATCCACTCAAACCTCACCACACCGTAGTTCTGTGACCTCCCCTGAACTATTACGATGTCAACTCATTTCCCTTCGGCATATTCTCTGCCCAAGAACGTCCATCAAGGTTATGTAAAATTCGTCCTCCAAAATTTACGAAATGTAAGCAGTACAGCCAAGATGAAGCAAAACCCCAACGCGTACGGAAACGTCAAGGAACACCAACGACATTTTCCGGATACCTAAACACAACTGTTCAACAGCCCCCTCCCGGGACATCCTTGTTCCACAACATCAAAGATCAATTATTCACCTTCAAGGCCACAACGCCATTTTCAGTTTGAAAATGACCAGTTCTTGGAGGAGTAGATAGCTTTCCCGCGGTGCTGGCTAACCGCTGGCCTACTACTGAAACTATGCATACTATAACTAGTCTATTTGGGCCAAGATATCCTAGGAAGTGCAAAACACTATCCGTGGTAAGTCCACATGGATGGTTTTGTGTATGTCTGCGTACAATTCAATACACACCATGGCCGGCCTACGGACAGCCCTTGCCGGGCATGTGCGTGGGTGCGGACGACCCTAGCCAGACCGTGAGCAGCCCATCATCATGGACATTTTATTTGCCCATGATCGCCGGTTGCTTCAGTCCGCGAGTGACCGTCATGGGTTACCCGAGGGCTGCCGATGGGCAGTGCCCAATACGGGGCACTGGGCACTGCCCATGGGTTGCGAAGGCGCCAATGGGTGCCCGTAGACAGGCCATGGCTAATCCCATGATGGGCAGTTGCGCAAGTGCCCACCATGGGTGGTTGCCCATGGGCTGCCCACGATAGGCAGTGCCCCCCATGATGGGCAGTCTCGTGAGTGCCCATCATATGCTGCACATGGGCAGCCCATGATGGGCAGTTGTATGAGTGCCCACGGTGGGCTGCCCATGGGCTGGCTGCCCACGGTGGGAGGTCGCGTGAGTACTCAACATGGGCTGCCCGTTGCCCATGGGCGGCCCATGGGCAGCCCATGATGAGCATGCTCATCCTCAGCCCATGATGGGCATTTCATTGGGTACGAGGTAGACGATCTAACCAATCCGTATCCGAACACACGAACACTATCCATCCAGGGTGACACAGGAGGGGGGTAAACACAGGACATTTTTTTTTTTTTCTTCGTTTTCGTGCCCCACCCTTCTCCTGCGGTGCGTGCTCAATTTATTTATTTTCCCCGAGAAGGGTCCAGCCGTACCTTTCACTCGTTAACGGTGCTAACGTCGAAGTTTGGTACTCACGATCGAGCTTTTTGCTTTATCCGTTTCACCCGCAAGTTTGTAAATTTTTCACCCCACGGGAATTCGACCTCACGACTTTGCCACTGGCAGTTTCGAAGTTACCACGATTTAATCCACCGGGGTGACCGGTTTTGTATTGAATTAACAAAGAGATGTACTATTGTACGCGTCGTAGGACTTCTGCATTATTAATCACCAATACAGATAGCGCCCGCACTTAAGAACTTGGCAGTTAAGAAATTGAGACATGCAAAAATCAGAAGCTAAGAACTTGAGCACCATTTGTGAGCTCGGTTAGGAACCCCACACTAAAACCTATATAGCGGCCATTTGTAGCCCACAAGCGGATGATCAGCGAAAAAAGAACCCCAGCCTCGGCCGAAACTAGAGATTTTTGAGTGCAGGCGCCATTTGTATGGCTATTCTCGGCGTTTTTGACGCGTTCCATTCATTCAACTTTGACTGGAGGGTGCCGGTGAACCGCTCGCTGTTGCGAGAGAACGTCTGCACTCCACTACGTTGTAACAATGCATTTTCATTTTTTTTTGCCTTCCGACAATCGCAGATGTACCTCAGAAAACTCTCACTTAATGTCTCATACTCTGCATGAATATTACACTAATACGAAGTACAACGACATCTGTAGGACATATTTCTACTGTCACCTACATCGTAAAAATATCTCCTCTTGAAATTGAAATAAAACCAATGACAATCCTCATGGTACCCTACATGCGTTCGTAAGCTTGCTAAAATACTACTGCGTTGATGTCCTCTTGTAAAAGCTGAAATCCAACAAATGCTTTGATCCATGCTACATCTCCGTGTTGGAAAAGCCCTTTCTTCTCCGTTCATGATAACATCTTACCCTATGCTACGCAAACCTGTCACATCTACTCTCAAACATGACGCCAACTTCAAACGAAAACGCGGTCTACGATGCGTCTACACTCCATCCCCATAACATTGGCGTTGACTGGTTCGAGGTCGATCTTGTTCGCCTGCATTGTGAATAAAAAAATTGCTTCGTGTCTGCTCCTTTCATCGTGGCCGTTGGAAAAAGGAAATGACCTACATAGGTCATACCCGCTCTCTTCGAGAGCAAGATGGAACTCGAACCACCCGTCATTTCTCCACCTCCCTCACGCTACATCTTCCTCTCCATCACATCACCCATCCAACCCCATGGGGGGCCCGCGGGCGAATTTTTGCCAGACATTTGCTCTTTTTTGCCGCCACTCCAAGTCTGCCGTTGATCACCACGACAATGCTTTGCTGTACTGCAACGCGGAGCGATACCCATCTCAGCACATGAAATGCCTCATGTGCTTTGAACATAATGCTTGCATGAAGTCGGTGGCCCCGGTGGTCTAGTGGTATTCTCGGAACCAGTGGCAAAGTCGTGAGTTCGAATCCCCATGGGGTGAACAAGTGACATATTTGCGGATGAAAGCGAAAGAAGCTCAAAAGCACGCTCGTGAGTACCAAACTTCGACATGAGCATCGCAAACGAGGGAAAGGGGGCGGACCCTTTTCGCGGGTAGCCTACATTGTTTGACATAGGTTCACGCTTCCGTTGAAGCCCACGGAAGCTTGCCACCCTTCCATCGAAGCTCAATCTACTTCCATGGAAGCCGTTGTTTGGAAGTTGCGTGGCGGATTTGCGCGACAGCTTCCATGCGGCTTCCATGCAAGGTACCTCCATGGAAGTCGATCGGTTTCCATGGAGGCAGCGGGTGGTTGCTTCCTTGGAAGTCTTGTCTTGAACTTCCACGGAAGTGCGAAGAGCTTCCATGGAAGTAAGACTTTCACGGAAGTCCATGCCTCGATCCCGTCCAAAAAACTGGAAGGTACTTTCAAAGAAGCACGTTCACTATCACCAAGTAACTTCCATGGAAATGTTGTAACAACTGGACAACTAAATTTAGCAACTTCCAGGCCGAGGCGATGGAAGCACTGATGTACGGCTGCATGATATGGGCCCCACGTCAAGAGCAAGACCGGACGTTGCGGACAACACACCACCGAGTGCTCCTGCGAGTTATAGGTTGCCAATGCAAGAAGGGCACCTACCGGCAGCTTTCCTACGCCCAGACCCTGAAGGTTGTAGGGTGCCAGAGCGTGGAAACTACTCTTCGTTAACGGTGCCTACGGTTTGCGGGAGCGTTGACAAGGCAGCCAGAAGGACGACACCCGAAACGGGTGATGTTTGGCGAGCTGGTGGGGGAGGAGGACCCAGGCAGGGGGAAACCGGAGCAAAACTGGCAAAAATGCCTGAAGGACAACCTCAAGATGTTCCAAGCAGAGCACGGATCTGCGGTCGTCGAGCCATGCTTCTTCGGAGTCCGGGAAACAACTTGGATGGAAGCAGCGAAGGTGGACCGGGGGGTGCCGTGGCACACAGGGGTACTGCAGGGAGCTAAGAGGTTCATGACCTCCTGGCACCAAAAAATAAGGAGGCCAGCCGACAACGAGCGCACTAACGAAACAAGAAGCCCGGCCCCAACACAGACACGGCAACAGCACGGACACGGCAACAACCACGAGGGCGGGAGGGGTACAGCCGGCGGACGAGACGGGGAGGAAACACAGGAAACGCGAAGAAGTGGACCGAGTGGCGCGAAACACTGTGCCGAATTGAACCCGTTGCTTGACTTATTCCCGCCAGCGCCGGGGAGTTTACCATCGGGGTTGGGTTTTCGTCGCTTGGCAACGACGTTGTAAAACAAGCCAATTCACTTCGTGAACTCGGCAACCAGGTTACCGTTTGTTTTTTTCAACCTCTGTTTTTTTTTGGCGGTAACCATCATGGTGGTCGAGTAGATCATGTTGTGCGGGGTCGAGATCCCTCACTCCGCGCAAGAGGGATGGTCGCACCACGTTGTGAAAAATTAGTCAAGCACCCTCGAGGCAGTTACACAGTGCTTATGACTGTCTCTGGAAGTGAACGCGCCAGAAAATAAATTAAGTCATTCGCAGCTGTCATCCGCACGCAAGGAAGTAAGCACAGGATGCCGAACACCCTTAGCAGGATGCAGC